AACGCAATATAATCACTGTTTAATTTACACTCAAAATGTAAACTTAGAATCAATCCTATTTCATTTGTATCGCAAATGGTTGCTTAAAATATACAGTTGATGTTTTTTTTCAAAATATAGTTCATTTAAACAGTCAAGATCATGAGTCAATTGAAGCTAGACCATCATGGAAAAATCTGGAAGCACTGGACGGCCATTTCGTTCTATTGTGGAACTCGTCAGCAGTGCGCATCCACGCCCTCGCCTCGTAGGATTAGAACTCAGGATATATCAGTCAGACCTATAATTAATTATTTGTTATAAAGTTGGAATTTCAAGACAACAATTTTATTTTGAAGGAAGAAACTTAAAACTATGTTACTGAATCCTGTGAGCAAACAGCCATTAGTCAACATTTATTAAACAAACAAATTTCAATATACAATCTCTAGGATTTATTTCTGACATTTTGATCTGTAAAATCTTTCTAATCAAATCTTATACACTTAGATGAATAGAATGTAAACAATCCACTTTTATGAAGTACTATAGCAAATCATTAAAAAAAAGTTTTCATTAAATTTCGTAGAGGTTTTAACAGCTCTTAACAACAACAACAACAAAAAATCAATAATTTAAGAAACAAATCTGATGAAATTTTATATTTTGTATTTTGTAAATAAAACTTTCATTTTAATTATCAAGTAGTTACATAACAAAATAATAATAATGATGATGATGATGATGATAATAATAATCATTGTATCCAAAATTTGGGATTAGGAAATCGGGGAAGTATCTAAAGTTTATCAAATTTTACCTTGAATATCTATTAAAGGCGGCTTGCTTGAATAAGTGGGTTACCTGTTTCTATCATCTGGATATTTCAACAAATTATTTATTTTCTTATTTGTTTTAACACATCATTATGCCTATTAGTCACATAAACTATTCAGTTGAGTTTGTGAAAAGTTCACGACATTTCGTTGTACGAGTTAAAGAAGAACCTAATCAGAGATATCGTGATGGCTGGTAATATAGATCGAAAAGAATATACATTAATCAAATGTCGATTTCTGAACTGATCACATCTAACAGGCGACCACTCAAGAAATAAGGAAACTTCTTAAAACATTTTGTGCTAAGAATTCTATATTCTACCAAAAGTATAATATTGAATAAATCCAATAATAATAATAATGAAATTGTAACACAGTACTTTATTTGATTACTCTTTTTGTATTGCCGTCTTAATTGTCAGTTGATTGATTAGCTTCATTCTGAGAACGATCTTATGTATGTAAGTTTATAAGTGTAAATGTAATGATTGAATTAATGAGAAAATATATACGTCAAAGTACATAGTAGCCCTATCTAATGTTATAAAAAAAGTAAAATTTTATGGTTTATCTTATTTTTAAAAAATCATTATATCGGATTTGATCAGTGTATATCAGAATAATCATTGCCTAAGATCTATTTCCATTCATTTGTCTGATTATCATAAATGATCAGAAGTAATTTACTAGTTGAATCTATATATTACGTTCCACCTGTTATCTATATACATTTACAGGTTATTTTAAGAATTAGTAACCTCAAATTCAGTCATCACTTCATGTACTTGAAGCTTCTAAAAAAGAAGAATCATAAATTATGGAGTATCTATCTAAATCTTATATACATTAAGGGTGCAATCAATGATTCAAAATCTTGACAAAATCCTGATTAGTTTAAATCAATCTAACTTTATTTGGCTTGAACTAAATTTAATTGGTACGTGATAACCTACAGTATCTTTTTAAAACTACGTATGTTAAAATGGGAGAACAGTCAGAAGTTATCAAAAACGGAATATATATATGGTAGAAAATTGAAAATATCCAGTAGTTTTACTCAGAAAGCTTCAGTATACTTCTATTGTGCTCTAAGCTTAAGAATGAATTTATAATATTTCTCATCTTTTTTGTTATAACTTGTCGTTTGAATGCTTATTGTCTTGGCTCTTTTAATGCTACTTCTTGTATCTGGTCGCCGCTGATTGTTATGTCAGAAACGCTTGTCACTTATACTCGGAAGAAGGGACCTCTGCAATTCCCACGACGCGAAAATAAGACCACAAAGACTGGCATAAGTGATGATTTATTAACCCCAAAACACGACGACGACGATTCTAGTAGAAAATACACTCATTTATATATTGATTGTACACCCATTATGATTAATAATGAGGATAAAATCACATATATGAAAAACACTTAGAGTTACAACAAATCACAGACTGAGCATAGTTCATGTCAATGGAATACAAGAATATCGTATATTATACAGAACAAAATATCATACGAGACAATAAAACAAATACTACACTGATTAATCATTACATTTAATCAAAACAAAAGTAATGTTGATTAAAACTCATAATGAGTAAATCAATCAAAAAGTGACTTTTCTTTCCATCATATCATCTTTGTTAAACATACGCGTGTTGTCACTTTCATTACTTTCTGATTGTCGCTTACGACTAATTTTTCTCAGATTATTTTTACTGTCGAAACCAAGGAACTTATCTCTAATTGTTTATTACAAACAGAGATGATAGCACTAAAGACTCGCTTTAACTGAAACAAATTTATGTAAATCTGAATGCTATGATGACAAAATTGCTCCTATCTTTGTGTTCTCTAACCATTCAAATGGCAAGACAATGGTTAGATTCGGAATAAACGTTTGTGATTAAAATTACTAATGCACGTATTATATTTGATTCACTAGTAAAGAACACTCCACAAACTATTTACATCTACTAATAAGTATATTCAAGTCAATGTATTTGAGATCCATTTAGGTGATGATTTACCACAAACATATTATCAAGTCTTCTGTAAAATAAGGCCTAATTTCTATAATTTATTCCGTATAATATATACACTTAATACGCTAGAATAAATTATTTTACTTCTGTATTGATGGGTTATGTTTTTATTGATTGATTTTGTAATTAACATCAACAATTAGAGCATAACTTTGACCTGACAAAGAGCTCAAAATACAAAGTTTCCAATGAATACTGATATGAAAAACAAATTTGTCTTAATGATCATATAAAATCCATTTGTAAGTGAATGGTTTTATAAGTTTCTTAGAAGATTTGCTGAATATCAGAAGGGGTTTTGTGGAGATATTAGTAAGTTCAATTGTTGAAATCATGAGTCAATTGAACCTAAACCACCATGCAAAATCTGAAAACACTGGACAGCTGGTTCGTCCTAGTACGGGACTCCTCAACAGTACACATCCACGATCCCGCGTCCCGCGAGATTCGAACCCAGGACCTATAGGTTTTGTGCACGAGCGCTTAGCCACTAGACCACTGATCCGGCATACAACGGTGGTAACGTCTAACTTCAACTAATACACGAAATTGCGTCACTGTACACCATTGTCTTCAGTGAGCTGATATCCCACAACAGACCTGGTTGAACTCCACTGGTCACTGCTTCTCACTAGAACTCCAGGAGTATCTCCTGAAGTCAGTCACTAGCGAGCAGATGATTGTTATCAGAAGAGGTTTTGTGGAAATTTTAGTAATTTCAATAACTGAGTCCAAAAAAATGGTTAAAAGTAAAACCGGGTACTATAATAAGAAAATTTATCACTTTCTTCATTTCCGCACAATAACTTATTGATTTGTCAAGTTTCAGTTTTGCTTTAAGACTTTGAACTTTACGTTGTTGAATTCACTGTACTTGGATATAAAATGTATCTGTGAAATCAAAGAACTGAACAACTGTATGATTGTAATTCAGTGGAAAAATTTGCTTCATTAAGTTATCAATTTAATGACGTGATCGTTTCAAACGGAAAACGATGTCAATAAATTTCGACGGGTAGTTCATTTATTTAAACATATTCAAATAGTAAGATGATATAAGATTTTATACTTACAAACAGTAAAAATCTAACATGCTTCATGATTGAAATCGATTGTATGATAAACAACATAGACAACAACTAGATTTTTGTTAAGAACTCTTTAATCAGAAAAACCACCTAACAAGTAATATCATGTTCTATTATATTTAATAATGCTATCGGCAATGGAAATAAATATCGGATATGTATAAATCGTAAAAAAATTATCAAATGATCTAGATGGTTGGATAACTTTATTGTTTAGTCAAATATAGATTACTCAACATTAGTGATGCCTATCCTAGATACATAAACTTCTGTGCAAATGTGGTAGTTAAATTTCGAAAAACCTTCATTTTCACCACCTTGGTAATAAACTTATACGATGAATTTAGCGAAAGTTTGGTAAGCATATGGATTCAGTGTCATATTTCTCAATATGCACTCACTTCATATTATTATCAAAATGGTTTCATTAGGTCTCCTATTATTACGAATAGCAGATTGAAAGGTCTATGAAATGAAAAGAATTAAGCACTTTCAAATTGGTTCAAACTATACTCATATTAATATATCACATTTTCTGAGTTTTTATTATTAATTTCAGAAATTCACGTATTAGCATTTTTATAATTTACTAGTAAAGGTTCGTGTTCTCATATAAATAAAAAGTCACGTGCTTATGTCATTTAGTTTAAAACGATTCCCAGAGTGTTCAAATAACATAAACCCCAATAACAGTACTAAAACTGTATTGTTCGGTATTGTAATCTACAAAATAAGAGTAAACTGATGAGCCCAATTCAAGTTCCTTTTAAATTCAAACGTACCTTATGTACTCGTCAGTTAAAGTAAATGAAAGTTTATACAGTACAGTTCATGTCGATAGATCATCTTTTATTTATCTCTCTACTAAATCACCGGTACTTACTTACGCCTGTTACTCCTAATAGAGCATAAGCCGCCGACCGGCATTCTCCAAAATCACCGGCAGCATACGATTACTTAAGATATGATTTATTTTAGAGAAAAAAAGTATATTCTTAGATTATTGAATATTAACTTTTCATAATAAACAATGTTTAATACTACTTATAATAACTTACATTTTAGATAAATTAAATGTATAGCATAAATTACATTTCCAAAATCATTATCCATTTATTATTCATTATGTATAAAACTATATAAAAATTATATCTCATTTTTAAAATGTTTCACTTTTAGTCAATTCAACTCAGTAACAACAATATTTCATATGATAAAAGATAGAAAAAAATATTTTCTCCTCAATGATGAATACTTTTCAATGACTGGTTTCTATTCAAAATTAGAAATTTATTCTTGAATAGTCCGAAAAGTTTCTCATATGATTTAATGAAGAGAATAATGAACATAAATAGTTAAGTAAATAAATTAAATTATAAAGCATAAATAAGTAAAGAAATTGATAATTGAAAACGATTCATTAATCTGAACAGAATACTCATTCACATTACTATTTGTATACGATTTTTAAAATGATCTGATTGGCTAGTAAGTATATCAATGTTAATTTTTATGTTGTGCAAATACTTTTATTTAATTATTAATAACAACGGATCATTTGTATTATCACATCCCTTGAAGATAAATTGAACAAGTTGAATGTGAGAAACAGAATTGTAAAATAGTAATTTGTTGTATGTCTATATGTATTCAGGTAAACAAAACTAAAAAAAAAATTGAAAAGGCAGGGGATAGAAATGATTTCCATAAGTAAGCTAGTGGTTGATTGTAACAGGTATATAATTTAAATAAGACAGACAGGCAATAAACTTTAGTAGGAGATAGATTAAAAATTTTGACGCTTGATATTAATATTACTTTATTGTCAAAATACCTTGCAAGTATGTATAATTAAGCTTATAAACAAGAAGCAAAGGATTAAAAACGGTAATAGAATTATAAACTTTTTTTATACATATAAATACGTAGAATATATACATCATTTATTTGAATGTCCATATGACTTTATATTAAAGAATATAAACTTTAACTGAAATTGTAAGCGGAAAATTATTTATAAGTTAACTTATTGTGTATTTTATTACGTAACAACAATATGTTACATTGGTTTGATGAATGACAAAAACAATGTTTGAAATATGCAGTCATGATAATCTCAACGATTGAAAACTAAATGTCTTCTCTATATTAGGCGCCCGATTTCTGTCAAACTATTCGTTCAAATAATGATAAATATTCGTATAAATATTCGAAATAGTCCTACAGAAAGTAAAAGGTATAAACTACTTAACTGGGGAATGTTAATATATTAAATATATATATACAACTCTTCTTACATTACTTTCGTATATATCACTGACCGAAATCAGTAATGTGACAAATGGTATATTTATTTAAGCATAGCTAATGGAAAACTATACTGAATTATTGTTGTTATTAATGTGATTATAGAGAATCAATTATTAAGATAGTTTGAAAACACAAATGTTCGTCTTTTACTACGCTTGTAGTATATTTAGTAAAACATTATTACTTGAGTATTCAATTATCTATTTAAAAATAATCAAGTTCGTCTACATAATCCAACAGCTCCTCAATGATTATTTAATTAAACAGAATTAGAATTTTTACGCGCTTCAATCATACTGAAATAGCTAATTTTAACTGGATCTGTTAACACAAACTATATTTGAAAGTTACAATCTCCTTTATATTCACTAATTTACATTAGAGTTTTTCTTCAATGTAATCAAATTAACTATTAATAAAATGATGTTGACTGGTTATCAGTAACTGTTAGGTTAACATCACACCTGTAACTTTAGAGAAATAAAACATAAATATAAGAATAATGATTATAAACAAATATGTTGCCATAAATTAACCACTTAGTAATAACAGTAAATAACAGAAAATAGGAATCCATTAAATGATTTGTTTTCTTTGAAAGTGTTATCAAAGATGTAAATTTATGAAAACACTACATTTCATGATGAATTTATCATTGAGTTTAGGAATGTATAGCAGACATTAGTCAATTATGTTTCTGTATACAATTAGAAATCGTGGTTATCTATTCTTAAACAAAATTTCCTTTACAATAGATTGCCAACATCAATGTCGCAGAATTATTACTCTATAGAATAATGGCTGAAGACGTTCAGTATTGTGCTCGTTTTAAATGATCAAACGAATTGCTCAAACTTTCACCACTCTTCTTTGTTATATTTTCATACAGCAATGGTTTTGAACAGGATTTTTAATTCTGAGCAAATAGATATAGACTTATTGGTGTTCGCTAAACTATAATTGCTTTCTCGTCAATGATGGACTTTTGTTTTGTGGTATAATATGGACGGGTAAAGAAAAATAATTAAATAAAAGTCGTGGTAATTTAATCATGTAACATTTTTGTATCGAAATATTTCACAAAGTTAAAACAAACCCTGTTAGTCACAAAAGAACCAAAATTTTTCGAATGAAGTTATCAGTAAATATCTAAGTAAATAAAGTATACAAGCCTGATTATAAATCTGTTTCTTTAGAAAAATCTAAGTGATTTCTAGTCGACTAGTAAAAAAAATAGAAAATTTACAATTTCAATAAACACAATCCCGTTTAGGCTAAATAACTTAATTTTAAACATCACGCGTTTGAAGCGAATGTTACTGGGTTGGAGTCCCAGAGTGAACATCAATCCTGAGATGCAGGTACATCCAGCTGACAAGTACCAAATAGGAAGAAATACGCGTTCGGGATTCTGCTGCTAGTCATTATCCATCTTTGCTTATAAAGCTTGTGAATTAAGGCAATATGGAGGCAATACACTCAGTAAGCACATATGCCAATAACATACTGATCAACTGCAGTCGTAAACCTCAATTGGAAGATTCAAGCAAAACAGCACCAAGAAAATATGATCATTGTTCTTTAAAATGAACAACAAAACGCATTAGATCCAAGTTAACATTATATTTACTTCAATTGAATTTTCAAGAGGTTGTCTTGAACAAAGAAGAGTTGACAGGAATTATAGATAACACATGTGAAGATACTAAACGAAGCATTACTTGGCAACAATCTGTTTCACGATATGTTGCAACGTGTGCACGTTTCATTTGCCACTTTTTAGTACTACACTTTAAAAAAATTTATGATTTGGTTTTTTACCCAATGTATTAAACTTCATTCAGTGCAAAATGTGACGCGAATTAATTAGACAATACATTGGAAATAGTGTCCCGTGTTCACTCTGAGCTCTAAAGACTCAACACACTTAATTTTAATAGATATTCTGTTTTACTTGTATAAAAATCTACCTTAACAATTATAACAGCCGTGTGAAAGCAGACAAGAAGGATTCGTCCGTTTGAAGAAAACCTAGAGAAAGAAAGTAAAAATTATCTGATTAATATATATAATAGAAAGTAACAATATTATCTACATTTCGAAAAGACATTTTTCTCTTTTTCAATTGAATGATTATAAGAAAAAAACAATAAAATGTTATATATATATTCTGAAAATAATAATTACAGAATTCATGCCAGTTAAGAGGCATGATCAATTTGATACAAATAGCAACACTAGATGTAGAAAACAAACATGTGATAGAAGAAAGTTTTAAGTATATTAGTTCAGTAATCGTATTACAGCGATCCAATGCATCAACCGGGAACGTTTAATTTTTCTTAAATGGTCAGCCTGTTTATTTATGAACAGCTTAATTAAGGTCATTTCTTGTGCCAGATCGAATTAATGATAATTATCTAAAACTAGAGAAATTAAAACGAAAACAGAAAGCACGGAACAACGAAGTAGTAATTACCAAAATGTGTCAATCAGGTGTACCGAAATGCAAGTGCCATGTAACACAGTGATATACTGTTGATGTCAGATATTATTCAAACTATTTAAAGTTGCTAGGGACGGTGTTAACATAAAGTGACAGCAAGTAAGTGGTTTTACTTAGGGAATGCACTAATAAAGATGGCTAAACATTTAAAGTTATTATACTATCACTTGTGGAATGAGATACACTTACAGGCGCTAGGACATCCAATGCATTTTCAGAGGAGCAGTATGCATCGATGCAGCGAACAAATAACGGGAGTGATTTTATCGTACGGATAGATTGTGGTAGGTAATTCCAGAGTCTAGAAAATTTATAGGTAAAGTAATTCATACAAAGAGACGATCTAGAATATGTTTGTTTCACTAGTGACAAGGAATTACGGAAGTCATAATGAGAAGCTTTTGCATATTAAATCACGTGATCGGATGTAGTTTATTAAGTAGTTTGAAAAAAAAGATAAGACTTAGTTTGAGTCTCCTTTTTCATAAAGGGTCTAGCCCAAGTTTATTACATCTAGAATTATAAGTTAAGGCACAATCAGCTCCAAGAATACGAACTGTAAATCGTCTCTGTACTGATTCCAACCTTAATTTATCATTTATGCTCTCACTGCTAAGAATAAACGTGCAATATTCTAGAAGAGGTCGAACACAAGCTTTGTACATTAAAATACGTAACTCATTGTTATAAAGGTTTTGAGTTATGTAACCTACAAGACGTTGAGACTTAGAAGTCTGTTTCAGTATCTGTTCTGTAAACGACGAGTCTTGGGAGTATCTAAGTCCTAAGTCTACTACTGTATGTAACCTAGATAACACTTCTCCATTTATGGTTAGGTATAGGTTGAGTGATGTATAGCCGAGGCATATCCATCAACATTTAGCCGTATTAAGCTCCAGTTGCCATTCTAAGCACCACTGTGCTAACTTGTCAAGCTCCATGCTGAGGCAATTTTGCATATTTTTCAGCTCATGCTGAGAAAATGAACATGATACTTTAAGATCATATGAATGTAGAAAGGGTTACCTACACAAAACCTTTCACAAATATCATTGATAAACACTAAAAAGAGAAAAGGGCTTAAGACACTACCTTGTATTACACCAATTCTAACAGGGACAGCGTCAGACATAGAAAAGTTAATTTTAAATAGTTGATTTCGATTGCTGAGAAAGTAATCAAACCAATTTAGCAAAGGATTTTGAACTCCATGAGAAGCGACTTTACATATAAGAAGTTGGTGGATAACCATGTCGAAGGCTTTAGAAATGTCCAAATATAGCATTAAGACTAGATATCCTTGACTGGGTAGAGAATAGACTAAATTAAAAAAGTCAAAATGAATTTATTATCTCTTCGTGTATTAAGTTGTTCCATGTTTACATAAAGCTAACACTTTGCAAATTAGTCTTTCATCAGCTTGTTGGTTTGTATAGTTCCTTCAAAGCTCCATTATCAACTATATTGTACTATTTACATTTTATGACCTAAAGTAAGATTTGCATTCCATTAACTTGTCATTCATAAATCAATTTATTTAAAATGTTAATATATAGTGGAATATAAGTACAACATTCTGCCCTTTTCTGTAGTTTCAAACGCATACAATTGCAGT